AATTCCTCCGACTCCTAAAATGAGCGACAAAATCGGCAGGGACTCAAATCTACCAAACAACCTGATGAACCAAATCGAAATCATGACGCTGAGTACCAACTAACAACAAAAGCAAGTATGGATTACAATCCACTTATGTACCACATAAGTAGATTTCTGCTCCAAAAATTCTGATCAAACGCGATATTTTTTCTACATAACCCCCCCTTGACTTTAAAGCTGGATCCGCCCCTGGATATAGCCAATCTCTTAATATTCTAGTTTAGAATGCTTCAAGTTTTTTTCGTTTGGACAAACGATGCGACCAGGATTCCATGCCAAACTAACCGATTTTTGGGGACATTTTTTCATCAAATTTTAATTCAATTCAATTTAAACAAATCGCAATTGGCTCTCTTACAAATAACAATTTTGGTATCAGGTTTATTGGGTCTGCGGTTAATAGATATCGACAGATTACAAACCAGTTATAGACGCACTTCCACTGTTAGTTGTTCTTGCGTCAATTAAAGTTGCAAAAAGTTGCGCCTTTTTTAAATTATTTTTTTTGTTTCAAGGTTTCACTCAAAATGTGAAATACAAATGTTCATATCGTTTATTTCATATTACGTTTGGGCGAGACAACAGCGCCATCATCAGATTTAAAATTCAACACAAACCCATAATTGGGACAGATTACATTCTTTTTCTCTCTTAAAAAAAAGAAACATTTTTATTTCACATTTTCACTGAAACCCAGGAGAGAAAAAATATAATAACAATTATACGCAGTCAGGAAAATAAATCAAAGTATTTGTTAAAGCAAAGAACCACAGCAGCATTTTACTAAAAGAAAGCGCACATCCAGATTTACAGTCCAGTAATTTCCTTGATCCAGGGCACGAAATGTGGGACACTGGCGTACACTCCTGGAAAACCAGCTCGCGCACACCCATTTCCCCAAGAAACGATCCCCGTTAAGTACCCGTCCACCATGAGTGGCCCCCCAGAGTCCCCACTGCATGCGTCCTGTCCTCCTTCGGTAAATCCTGCGCAAACCATCCTGTCCGTGATGAATATGCCAGTTCTGTTGGACAAATCGCCTGAAAAAACTCCCATTTTCGTTCCCAATTCAGCAAAAACCGTTCTGGAACTCACTGTAGAACTCTTGGCAGGATTCGTTGTTTACGATAGGAACCGTAACTTCCTGTAGTTCGTCCATCAATGAACCGCCAGCGAACGGCGTTCCCCATCCAGCGACTGTAGCTAAGCTTCCTGAAACCCATGAAGCGCTCACTAAGTGTGGAGCAATTGAACATAAAATGCAATTGAACCTGCAGTTGGGTGCCACCCTTCGGGCGGCAATTGGGCATAACCGATAATGTCTTCAACAGCACTTTGAGCCATGCTCAGTCTCACCAAAGCAATATCGTAGTCAATGGTGGTCGCATTGTACTGCGCATGCCTGAGAAGATGGGTTGCCATCAAAACGGTTCCTCCAGAGGCCCACAGGTGGGAACCCAGTCGGAAGCTGTAGCGATGTGGCCCTCTAGAACCAATGCAAAATTAAGCACCAGAATCATGTGGTGAAAAACAGCTTACGCGGACACGCAATGAGCAGCAGTAACAATCCAATCGGGCGCTATAAGAACAGCTCCACAACTGTGGCGGTGCCAATTGTGGAAAGACGCCTGGTAAGGGTGGCTGGTGATATTCACAGGCCAGCCGCCCACAATGCGACCATCGGGCAACGGAACCAGAGGTTCCGGTTCCAAAAGATCTTCTCTTTTATCGATAAGAACTGAAAAAAAGAAGATGCTTGAAGAAGCTGACTGCAGTATTGAAAGCCTGCATGCAGGGCTTAATTCGATGCTTTGAGTATTGAAGAAGCACAGTGTGCTTAGGTTCTTAGGTTGTCAATATTTTTTTGATCGGACGCCCATTTCCAAACATTCACATCCTGAGTTATTCAGCAAATTGTTTGGTTCCTTCTAAGGTATTGTTTCAAAGTGCATCTCGATTGCAATTTTCTTGTTTTTTTTGTAGAGAAAATCAGGGTATTTTGGACGAAATGTGATGAAAAACCGCGATAGAAAAGCGGAAGCAAAGTCCTGAGATTTGGTGCCTCATGGTTACGAAGAATCTTTG